CCCAGAGGAGTATTTCCTGAGTTGCAGTGGCTTCATGCCATTTGGTGAGAGCAGGCACAGGCATAGGGGGAGGGTCTGTGACTCGTCCAATGCCCACTCATGAGGACCTCCCCAGCATCCCTCCCCCACCGTCCTTTCTTGGTAAACAGACCCCCCCATGTTTACAATCCCGTCTGCCCCCTGCTTGTCCACATCTTCTCTTTAGGAGTAAATACTAATTAGTCTCAGCCACGGGTTCTCAAACTGTGGTCCTCAGACCACCACACCCAGCCCAGCCTCCCCCTGGGAGTCCCGGCATTGGCTTGGCTTGGATGTTCACAGTCAGGTGGTACCGGGCTGCTCAGTATATTCTAAGTCTCATCTCTGTGTTCTTGTCATCCCTCCGAATGGCTGGCCAGCCCTGTGAAGGGCAGGACATCTGCCCCCTAGTGCCTGAAGCAGAGGAGGCCCTAGACCTATACGCCTTCTAGCTTTTCTGTCCCTCCTTGTGTATGTACACCACAGACCTTTGCAACTCCCTCTGTCTCCCTCACCCTCCTGACCACCCACCTCCATCCAAGTCTTGCTTAAGGATTACTCTGGCTGAGTTGCGTTCCTTGATTCTCTGTGGACAATGAACATCTGCTGCCTACATGCTGACATAAGTACATAGCACAAAAGCTATTGCCTCAGCCACCACCTTCCTTTCCACCTGCCATGCTACTGCCCGTTCTATCCGTCTGTCTCCCAAACCGGACAGGAGAGGCTCAAAAGTTGATATGCATCAGACTCACTTGGGGAATCAGCTACAAGGCAGAGTCCCAGAGGAGGCTCTGTGGGGCAGAAGGCCACAGTTCTTCTGAGGCTCACACTACAAGAGGTTCTGGGATAGGTGACCCATGGGCCTCTTCTTGAGAAACACCTATCTGATCCCAGAGCATACCCTTGTCATTACCCAACCCAAGCGCCACCACCCTGGTGGCTTTGGCACACCAGGTGCCCAATAAATACTTGCCAACAATCATGGCTAATATGACCAAACACTTGCTCTTCACCAGGTACTATTCTAAGCACTGAGCTCATACTAATCCTCACAGCAGCCCCAAGGCACAGCATCAGATCCTACCATGGGCTCATTTAATAGATGAGGAAACGAATCCAGGAGCCTCAGTGGCACAATGGTTAAGTGCTGAGCTGCTAACCAGAAAGATGGTGGTTTAAAGCCACCTGCTGGCTTCATAAGCAAAATACTTGGCACCTGCTTCCGAAGATCCCAGCCTAGGAAATGTGACTGGGTGGGCAGGACTACTCTGTCACGTGGAGGCACCTCAAGTCAAAATGACTCAATGGCACCCCACAAGGCCACCAACAGTAGCACTCACAGAAGTAGCAGGTTCAAGATCTTAACCCAAATAATCTGGCTCTAGGGCCCAAGTTCTTAACTACTGCCATATTCTTACACCAATAGCACGTGCATTATACATGCTTTTGCCAGAGGCACACCCTCCTATGCATTATTATCCTATGCATGCTATAAGCATTATATGTGTGGGGGTGCATTATTTATGAGAGTGCTTTATTTGTGAAAAATATGGTCCATTCAATGGATGGATGAATGGGTGAACCGGTGAATGGATGGGTAGATGGGTGGGTGGATGGGTGGATGAATAGATGGATGGTTGGGTGGATAGATGGATGGATGGATGTATGGATAGATGGAATAGGTGGATGGATGAGTAGATAAAAAGATTGATGGTTGGATGGGTGGGTGGATGGATAGATGGATGGGTGGGTGGGGAGTGGGTAGGTAGGTGGGTGGACAAATTAAATTTATGGATGGATGGGTCAAATTAAATTTATGGATGGATGGGTGGGTGGATGAGTGGATGAGTGGGTACGTGGGTGATGAATGGATAGATGGGTGTTTGAATAGATGGATGGGTGGATGGCAGGAAGGAAGGAAGGAAGTGAAATGAATGATGGACAGGCCCTAGTTACTTACTACATGACATCCTCCAGGAGGAGCCTGCCATTGGTTGGGTGGGAGGGAGCCTGAAGTTCTCTGGCTCTCTCTTCCTTGAGACCACCCCACCCAGGGTAATGTGGCCATTTGAAGTAGAGGTTACTTCAGAGAAGGTCTGTTCCCAGCTCTCCCCCTATTTTAGAATGATCGAGGCCTGAGAGTTTGCAGTGCCACACCCAGAAGAGGTAGTGGGTTGGCTCAGAACTCATTACTGCCAACAGAATCTTCCCAGACGTGATGTGACTGTAGGCTGTCCCTGCGCTGTGTGGACGGACTCTCTTGCCATCAGCCAGGAGTCCTCGGGAACCCCAGAAGACTGACTTGCATGCAGAGAAGACCTGAACCCTAACTGCAGCCCAAAGCAGGCACCTGAGTGCACCCACCGACTCTTAGGATGTCTGCTGTGGAAACGAGCTGAGATTCAGAGGAGGCTGGGTGACATGCAGAGGCAGCTCTAATACCAGGTGCTCCTGCGAGGTCCTCTGCCTGGCACAGGGGACAGGGCACGAGGGCAAGGAGGGCACTCACCGATCCTTGAAGAAGAAGATCTCCCCACGGATCTGAGAGATGGCGTCAAAGACAATGTCTTGTTTGCAGATCTCAGGAGTGACGGGCCCCAGTGTGGGGGTGGGGCCAGTGCCGGTGCCAACATCAGTGTCAGGGGAGGCCCCTGGGGAAGGACAGCTGGTCTCAGACTCTCCCTGCTCAGGGGCTCTCCCCACCAGGCTGAGTCCCCAAAGCTGCCCACGCAACTTACTAAGGGTCAGCAGAGACTGTATTTCTAGCCAAGGGTGAGCCCAGGTAAGATGGGGAGACCAGAGCCTTGGCACATCACCAACTTCTCCTCACAGACCCCTGCTGGCTCCGATCTCTGGACATCACTCCTTACTCCTCCCAGCTCCCACACAAGGAAACTGAGCTTGAATGACTTGCCCAAGGATTTATAGCCAAGGCTCTGGTTCTTCAGCCCACAAGAGTGCCAAGGCAGTTGGGAGGGCAGAGGAGGGGCAGCATTCACACACCTGGAACCCCTATTCTTCATTATACCCAGCCACCCTCTGCAGCTGGGGCAACTGGTCCTGAGGGGGAAAACTTGCTCAAACTTTGTCAGCTGCAAGGGGCGGAGGAAATATCTGGATCCGGAGCCGCTCGGAGCCTCTCGGATATCGGGTTCTTCCCCAAGTCCGTGGCTCTCCAAGCTTCAGCGTGCCACTCCCGCTACTTTGGCCTGATCTCGGTGCCACTGAGAACATCACGAAACTCTGGTAGCAGGCGTAGTGGGTTCCATATTGGGCTGCCGGCCACAGGTCAGCAGTCCGAACCTACCAGACCTTTCATGGGGGTGAAGATGAGGCTTTCTTCCCCATAAAGATTCACAGCCTCAGAAACTCAAAGGAGCAGTTCTACTCTGTCCTGAAGGGTTGCCGTGAGTCACAAGTGACTGTGTGGCAGAGAGCTGACACATATACGGGGGCCTTCAAAGAGCTCGTGGAAAATGGAATTGAACTTTTTAAAGCCCCAGAGAGATAGATCATAGCGATACAATAAGAGGGGCTTCAGAAAGTTTGTTAAACATTTTCATCATCGTTTCATTCCTTGTTCCCTGGACTTTTGAAGCCCCTCTCAGACATAAATAGTCTCATCGCTGTTGGCTGGGTCCTCGCCGTGGCCCAGTGGGATAGGGTGGGACCGCCCCAAAGGGTTTCACAGCTGTCATTTCCGTGAACGCCAGCCAATCACTTCTTTCTCCCCAAGACTGGCTGGTGGGTTTGAACCAACAACCTCTCAGTTAAGAGCCCAGTGCTGAATCACAGTACCACCAGAGCTCTGTATGTGTACGAGTATGTATGTGCATGGATGATTCACATACTCACACAGCCAAGCCTGGGGAAGCCAGAACCTGCGTAAGGCAGAAACCAGGCAGAGAAGGAAAATGGAAATACCTTCAATGATTAGAGTGTTAGAAAGATGGTCAGACGGTCCCCTGACCCCCAAGGCAGAAGACTTGTGAAAGAGCAAGGCAGTCCCACAGACTTCCGGCTCTCACAGGATCCTGTGTGTGTGTGTGTGTGTGTGTGTGTGTGTGTGTGTGTGTATCTGGCATCGGTCAAGGGTAAGGTTGCACAACTTGAGCCAGGCAACTGATGTTACTAAGATCAACCCAACGGATTTGTAAATGCTGTGCTAGATGTAGTTTTATGATAAACACACACACATATACATTACATTAAAAGTTTATATAGTTTACGTATGTGAATTATGTGTGTGTATATATATGTGTGTGTGTATGTGCATAAACTCTACTGCCACTATAACTCTCACCCGGGCGGCAGCCCGCCCTCCATGCCAAGCTTACCATAGAGCTCCTGAATGCCCTTGATGTCATCCTGGGACAGGCGGAAGTTCTTGGTGTAGGTGTAAATGGGCGCCATCAGGGCTCCAGGGTCCTGAGAGTGCTCCAGCCCCATCGCGTGGCCAAACTCGTGGGCTGCCACAAGGAACAGGCTATACCCTGGATGGGGGCACGGGGGTGGGCACAGAAAGATGAGAGAGAGGAGCGTCTGCTCCTGGGCCCAGGAATCGCCATGGCGACCGAAAGCCTGGGCCATGGCCGGAAGGCACGTCCGTGCTCCCGGGAATTCTGAACTCATGATGTTGGCTGACTGCTCTCAAGCAGGGCCAGCCAGTGTCCCCCCCTCCCCCCATCCTTTGGGGGAGTGTTACAAAGGGGGAGGGTGGCAAGCAGCACCTGGGAATTCTCTGATGGGGGGGTGAGGGGCAATCTAGCCTCATCAGTTAAGGGTCCGTTTGCACAGCATGAGCCAGGCAACTGAGGTCACACTAGCTAGCATGGACCTCGGCTAGATTTGTGCATTGGTAAATCTGTGTCATGACAATTAAACAAACAACGAAACCTGCTCCCCAAAGTGCCCAGAGTGCCAAGGAGCTGGCTCCCCCATGGACCCCATGGACCGGTGCAAACCCTTCTGAAAGAGAGTGGCTGCCCAGGCTCGGCGCCAGGCACAGATAGACCTCCCTCGTGCCCACCTCCCGCTCTGGAGGATTGTCCGGGCAGACAGAGAAGCCCCCGGGGGCTGCACACCAGAGCTGTGTGGGTAACATCAGGATCCGCCCCAGGGAGGCCCCTGAGGGGGTGAGTCACGCTGTGTGGGCCAGCGGCTGTGAGTGGCATTCGGCGGGCACTCTCGTGCTGCTGCAGAATGAGTAGCAGCCACAGAGCAGGGACAGTCTCACTCTGTGTGGGGCCATCGAGTAGCTCAGATGGCTGCAAACTACAGAGGGCCGGCGGGCGGGGCGTTTCTGTACCTTGGTCGGGGCAGAAGCCCCACTTGCGATCATCATCGTAGCTGCTGGTGGTGGAGCACCACATCTTCCCGTCGCCGCGGCCTGCGCTGGTGCAGCCCTCGTGCTGTTTGCCCAGGAAGGTGAAGGGGAAGACGCAGGGGGCACCTTCTGAGTTCCCGCCCACGGTGGACATGGCTGTGGAGTCGGGGACACGGGTCAGGCTGCAGGGAAGGCATCGATAGCCAATCCCACCGAGTGCCCACTCAGTCCCAGGCCCTGCGGGAGGGGCTGCAGACACATCTCCCCGACCCCACAACCACCCCAGGCCAGGGGACAGCAGAGCTCAGCAAGATTCCGGAAGTCACTCGCTGGAGCAGAGGCAGCTGGGAAGTGTCCGGGCTGGGACTGGAACGCAGGCAGATTCCAGAGCTACCATTAGTCTCCCAGGATTGGGAGCCCAGGGGCTGAGGTAAAGGGAACCAGACAGAACTGATAGTGTCAACCTGCCCCCCTAAACAATGAGTGGCTCCCGCAGGACCCACGGGTGCCAGCAGGCAGGGGCAGGGCTCACAGAGAAACAGACTAGAGTTCCAGGGCAGTTCTTACAGAAAGCCAACTATAGAGGGACAAGAAAGGCCAGGGAAGAGAGACATGACCACCAGGGTGGCGGAGAGCAAAGGGCAGCAGTCAGGGAGGGGTCCTGGGCTGGTCTGTTGGCTGCTGATGCCAGGGGTGGGTGGTCTGGTTCCAGTGGCCACGTTCAGAATTCCGACTAGCTCCCCATGCAGGGAAAGGCAGATGGGGGCCCCTCGGGGATCAGGCTCGGGCACACCCACCGGTCTCAGGGCAGAAGCCGTACTTCTTGTCTCGGTCATAGTCCTCGGTAGTGCTGCACCAGCGGTACCCGTCAGTGCGACCCTCCGTGGTACAGCTGTCATAGGATGTGCCCTGGAAGCGGAACGGGAACTTGCAGGGCTGTCCGTCGCCGTTACCACCCATGGTGAACAGGGCTGGCAGGGAGAGAGGGAGGATGGGTGAGGCTTCTGGGGTCAGTTGGGCACCTTTGTGGGCACAGCAACACCAGAGAAGGGTTCAGCGTGGTGGCTGTCAGTAGGTTAGGACTCCTAGTGTCCCTCTGTACCCTAGGATGGATGGACGGATGGTTGGATGGACTGTACCTGGTCCTGTACGACCCACCCTGACAGTAGTTGTGCTGTGTGAGTCTATGGTTTCAGCCACAGCGTCCACCCCTCTCACCGAGCATCTTCCCCTTGTCACTGCCCCTCTAGGAAGCATGCGTTCCCCAGGGATGGGTCCCTCCTGATCACATGTCCAAAGTGCATGAGACAAAGCAGGAGTGTAGGCCTCCTTCATACTGAGTGGTAGGCCCTTGGGTGGCACCAGGGTCTGCATCGAAGGCTGACTGAGTCAGAGAAAGGCCTGATCATTGCC